ATATATAAATGTGTGTGTATTACCTGTTTAGTATCCCAATGCCATTCAGCCTGCCACACCCACTTCACCTGTTCCACATTTGTAAATCTCAGCTGCAGCCTGTCTTCCTCTTATCCTTGTCAATATATTCTGTGTCTGTCTAATGCAAGAGTTTCCCTTGAGAATCCCTAAATTTATTACCATGTCAGCCCCCACCACCCCACACACAGGCAAAAAACAAAGCAAAAAAAAAACTTTATGGCCCATCTTTTTGTTGACGGATGATGTTAAAGCCACTGAGCAAACACAGAAGGTAGTCACAGAGTTGATGTGTGAACTTAGACACAAAATATGCTGCACCGTGTTTTAACCGACAATGTTGTTGTAACTCAGCTGATTCAACACCAACATGATGCGTGTGTAAAAACACAGTGACACAGCACTGAGCTTCTGTTTGACATGTGTGAATTACAAAACAGCATTACTGGCAGCATCATAAAGACGTTTGTCCTGTGTTGATAAGGTACAATTTATGCGTAGAAAATGACGAATGCTTTGGGTTATGCGAGTGTTATTATTTAATGAATCAAAATTTAAAAAAAAGACATTGATGTATAAATGATGCAACAAATGCAATTCCCAAACACTGTTTGCTCTCTTGCAGACATTATTTAGAGTTGTTGTACTTCAATAAATAAAGATGAGTAAAATCTCACAAGGCATCATTCGTGACGTCTTCATGAGGATGAAACTGGATGACACGYATGAATATTTTCAACAAAATACCTTCAGTGAATTTGGAGTATTTATTAGGGAAGACTACGCAACGACGCTCAATCGTCAAGAGAACTCGAGAAGAATCAACACTTTCTGTTTGCTCGTTGGGAAACGCATGTCTGCAATGACAGCTGCTTGGAATACAAAACATTCAGGCTCTGTGTCGGGGAAAACATTCAGGTTTTACTGCTGGAACAATATTGAAGCGGTATCGCAGCASTTTGGCTCTGTTTTGGTTTGCTCCCTTTTCTTGTGAGCTACCAACATTACTGTAATTTTCAAATTTCTGCCAGGTGACCTAGAAATCATACATGGGGCAGTGCCGCGCCTCACAAATCAAAGAGCCGGTCAATGCTTCGCCCTCCAGCTCCAAATCTCTCCCACTGCTGTAGTCATAATTACCTCACTGACAGAAAAGYGGGGGGAGCAAGACGCAGAGTAGAGCTGGAAATGCAGCAGAGTATCAAAGGAACGACTGGAAGGTGGTTAAGTGAAGCCAGGACAGATGCTGGGATTGAGCAGGGTTGAATGGAACCTTGTTATGTCACTGGTTTGCCACATGGCCATTTGTATGTATGCTGTGGTTGTCTGGGCTGGCACATTTATCTTTGTGACAGCTTTCTAAACTTTATTGTTTCCTGAACCAAAAATCCTCTAGTCCTTTGTGTAAACCGATCCAGACCAATCGCAGTGGCATGGAGCTCCTTTTACTCGCACAAGTGCATATAAACAATCACTGCCCGAATGGATACGCAAACAGAGCAGTGACTTTCTGAATGCCTTCACTGCTGCTTCAAAGGGAACTGCTGCTGCTATGAAAAATTGAAAACCTATGTTGATCGATATTTGAAAACAAAGAGGCATATTTAAGATAATGTTTGCTTTTTAAACTGCATCAATGTACATATAAAAACTACAAATACACTTTACACAAATTACAACCAGCATCAAAGAGCTGCTAAAACACTCAAACACATGTAAACACACACTTTAAATGGGCTAAAGATGAACAGATTGTTTTTCAACTTGCCAATTTCCACATGTAGTTATATTGTTATTGTTATAGAGATGTTGAACATCTCAAATCTGCATGAAGTGGATATCGTTTCAGCAATTAAAAAAACATCTCATCAGATCAGTTAAAATCATTTTGCACTTATTTAAAATCTGATCCAACTAAAATCTGATGTTGATAGTGCGAAAATGTAAAGTGTTTCATTTTTATTGCATGCATATTGGTGGACCAGAAAGGATGTTTTTGACCTACTTAATCAACAAACTGTATTTTTTTTCTCCTGTCAGTTTATCCCTTACTGTCAGATATCTTTAAGCTGAAATTATTGATCCTGGCACCAATAAGTTGTGATATGGAGTGGCCATTTAGACTGACTCTTCAGATGTGCAGTTCATGTTTTATTTAGTTGTCCTCACTACTGAGAGAGTTGCACTGCTGCAGTACATGACTAGCACCAGAAGAGCTGTACACGATGTGCTGTATATGTATGCCCTTCATACATAAAGGAGGCAACAAATATTCTGCTTGAGTTTTATTTTTGCTTTAAAGTAAATGTTTCTAAGTTCATTAAAGCTGAAGTGCAATAGTTGCATTTTACTGTTTTGTCCTTCCAGACTGTTGCACAAGTAAATCTGTTTGCAGACTTTGCTTTTCTTGTTAACAGTTTATTCAATTAAAAAAAAACATGCTATAAATCAATTATAGATTACTGTCCAAAATGACACCAAACATCTTTACACAACAGGTGCAGTTATTATACATTTTTTATTATTATTTGGCATTGAATTGACTTTTGTGAAACAGAAAACTATTGAAACAGAAAACTATTGGAGTCCCAATAACAGTTTTTCTCAAACTGATTAAGATCGGTTTGAGTACTCTTACTCACTGATTGAGTACTTATTAAATTAGAACATAAACATAACACAATGGCATTAAAAACATTTTTTATTTACAAACAAAGTGTCTCTTATGTATAGGCCTACCTCTACTCTGACTGGATCAAATCAAATATACAGCATGTATACTGTTGCAATATTTTAAAAACAAAATGGTTCAACTTGTAAAATCTTTGTTGTGGAAATCTTTATTTTACCTAGGCAGAAACATGAGATCCAAGAACAAAAAGTACTCTGTCAAAGGTCAATCAGGATTTATTGCAATATGCAAGACACACATCATGTCACACAGGCAGTGGTACAGAATGTGTGCACCGAGGCAGTTTCAAATACATGCATTTATACAGAATATTATCAAGACAAACAAACATCTCTCTTGGTGCTGAAACGGAGCCAAGGAGAGAATGATGTTGGATAGACAGTAACAAGAATGATTATTTCCAACAGATATGGTCCTGATCTTAAAACACTCTGAGAGAAAACTGAAGATAAATAGTAAAATCATAAAACATGGTGACATTTTAAAACAAGCAAAAGAGCTCACTGACTCCTGCCCAGAGAAGAAATGTAAGACTTTAAAGGATAATTTATTTTTCCAGGACAATCTTCTTAAACATAGAACAGAAAACTTGAAATGTAAACTGTAACGCTTTGATATCAATGCAGATACACAATACTCAGTGTACTTTGTATGGGTACTTGTATTGGTACATATATCTATAATGAGACAACCACTACAGAAAACAGCAAACACAGACTTTGCATTAGAGTATGTCTGAATAAAACAGGGACTCACAATAACATGAAGGTTTGAACAATGATTTAGGACAGTTTTTTTTTTTTTTCACAAAGAGCTGGTTGATACCCCGAAGTTGCCAGGGGGCGCTAGGAGGGTCTCAGAAAGCTGGAGGGAAGATTAAAAAAACCTGCAAAACAAGAAAAAAATTGCATCAAATAGGTGCTTTAAGTCATCCTAAAATCAAATCAGTTTTTCAG